CGAAACCAGGACCTCCGAGTGTGCAGCTGTACATGCTAGCTGCTACACCATCGAGGCAGTTAATGGAGTAACAAATATAGAACATATAAACTTTTGCATTTATAACACAGTAGTCTTTTTTATGTCCTTTAAATAAACAATTTTGAGATATACAATAGAGAGTTATATACAAGTTTTCGCCCACAACCCCGCTGCGTTATGGATGCGTCACTCTGAATCAATCTATGATTCAGAATTGCTGCTTTATATAGCTGTTTTTTTTTTATAACTAAATTAAATAAAATGTATCAATAAATTAGCTCTCTCCCACTGAAACGCATAAAATTCCCACTTTAATTAGAGTATAAACCCTCTCATTTATCAGTCAAACTGGTAAAGTTTCAAGATATTTAGCACTATTTAATCATTCCAAATAGAATCCCAAAGAGCCTTTCTTCTTAAGTAGCAATAAAATTAAGGCTCTATTGTATACGATTTCGTTTCTAATATGTGCTAATTTGTATCAACAAAATTATAATTTTATTCTAGAAAATATATCCTAACTTTATAGCAGGAATAAATTTAAGCAAGTGGAAAATACGATGCAATTAAAAATATTGTGCTATAAAAGAAAATATTAATGTTACATATATATATACTATACTAGCGACTCACTTTCGCTCCGCTCGGCTTCGTCCCTAGTTACATTTTAACGTTTAGTATAGATTTCTCAGAGATGAGATATTTTCCCGCAGTAAAAAGTATCCTATATGTTGACCCGGAAAACCAGCTATCATCATACCATACTTCATCAAAATCCGTCCAGTGGTTTTCTCGTGATACTGTCTCAGACAGACAAAAATTCTAAAACTATAGATTCGGCCTCTGTATCGATAATAATGACTATTTCAATAAGATTTTCCAAAAAATGTTTATTGTACAGATTCAACTCAAATTTTATCAAATGTAAATGCAGTGCAGGTTAAATAATATAGGTTAATGAGGTAGGTTTCTACATTTATGTGGTTTGAAAATTAAATACATATTTTGAAATATTTATTTGAGTCTGAATGGCTGTTAAAATTAAGCTAAGAAGTAATTAAAAAAAAATACACGGTGTCCGCAGCTTAGCTTAGACTCTTATAGTTTCTCTTATCAGCTGTTTTACATAAATGTATCTAAATTTTGATGATATTAAACTGTGTGTAAGTGTAAGAGATTTATCTTTTCAAATTCAATCGAAATCCGAAAGCTGTTCAAGCAGCGTTAAAGCGTAACAAAAATAAGTACAAACGTACGTACACACAAACTTTCGCATTAATAAAGTAGTATGACTTTTTCAAATCAAATATTCTTTATTGCACACCATTATTTTACATTACATAGTTAAATAACACAGATTGAAGAGAAATAGTACAATAGGCAGCATTATCGCTAGAGAGCGATCTATTCTAGACAACCTTTGGGTAGAGAGAAAGGAAGAGAGAAGGAAGGGGTGCGTATGTATGTATGTATGTATATTGTATATATGCATGTATGTTTGTATGTATGTATCAAAGTATGTGTGTATGTACGTATATATTTGTTTGCCTATGTATGTATTTGTTTGTAGACTTTTTCGTTGTACCTTATAAATAAAAACTTTTTAACAAAAAAATAAAAACCGACTTCAAACAAAAGCACTAAAAAGTAAAAAATAACTGATTGGTAGTTTTCATTTACTATACATACCTAATCAAATATTTTCGAAGTCGGTGTGCTTTGGCTAAGTAATTAAAGCCTACCTATTAAATACATACCTAATCAAATATTTTCGAAATCGGTGCCAGCCCATACAAAGCAAAGCACACCGACTTCGAAAATATTTGATTAGGTATGTATAGTAAATGAAAACTACCAATCAGTTATTTTTTACTTTTTAGTGCTTTTGTTTGAAGTCGGTTTTAATTTTTTTGTTAAAAAGTTTTTATTTTTCCCTTTTTAGTGTACACAGTAGTAGCGAAGTAAGCATTCTAACGTGTTAGGCTTGTCAAATCAAACAAAATAAGCCCAAACTCAAAGTATCTACTATTAGCCGTTGAAGAGTTCCACCTATCCACCTTCTGGCCTTACCATCAGATCAGGTCAATAATACCGAACCACTGTACTATCAACGGAAATAGAAACACTTGCAAATTTAAAGTTAATATGACAATTAGAAGTAGGTTAAATTCATCATTAGCTATTTTTCCACCCTTAGGGGTGGTATTTTTTTTTTTGAAATTTAAATGGGACCAATCTGGAAGTATACCCTTTCAAACAACACAAAAATTGTCCAAATCCGTTAATAAATGACGGAGTTCTGAGGTAACAAACATAAAAAAAAAAAAAAAAAAATACAGTCGAATTGAGAACCTCCTCCTTTTTGAAGTCGGTTGAAAAATTAATAATATTTAATATAATATATGCACTTGGCATATTTTTTATACTAGCGTTCGCTCAGAGGTCAAATGGATTCGAACATAACTTTTGTTTCTTGATCTCAATTCTAAAGCTCGTTCATATTATCTCCTTAACAAAAAAAAGATAGTCGGACAAACAGATGAGAAACTGGCACAGAACTGTTGTCTTTACCTATTTATATATAGATTTAAGTATCGTATATTAGAAATCAGATTGATAGTTAATTAAAATTGTTATAAGGTTTATGATGCGACGTGCTGCGGCGAGACCCCTGACGCTGAACTTCCAATACACGAACTCAACTTTGATTAAAAGACTTAGTTCGATAATATATTATACTAACATTTGTCCAAGTTCCTTGCCGTTCCTTAGAATTATATAATATTATATATTCTTTATTTTTATGTAATTTTAGATTAAGATAAAGTCTATACACTTTCTGAATAAATATACCAAGAAAACTTTTTTATACTTGGAACATTAGATGCAACTATTGAGTTACAGATATTAGCGCTGTCGAACAAACTAACAAACAAACAAACAGTCGATTCTTTTTTATAATAAATACAAGTCTTTAGTTATAGTGTTAAAAGCTTTCAGTAAGACGTAGTTACTTCTATTCTTCTCTTCTTCGCTAGATAATAGTTGTTTTTCCGTACCAATTAGTAATATCTTAGGAAGAAAAGGTTGAATAAAAAAAGTCACCCTTATTGACCTCATATGACTATTTTATATGATACAAAAGTTCAAGCAGCAATTTTTATGTATGTTTGTCTGTTTGTACCCACTAATTCCAAGACCGGCTGAATCGATTTTCACTAGTACAAGATTTTAGCCAGAGTGACTTCTGTGAGACACTATACACGTTTTGGTATTTTGCTTCTTTTTCAATATATTTTTTGGCAATTTATATTACCAAAAAGTGAACGGAGTTTTAGGGTAAATTTTTAAGTAGTAATGGTACTTATAAATATTATAAGGAGGAAGGATTTTTTGTTTGTTTGTTTTTTTGTACCGAATAAGTTCTGAAACTACTTAACTGATTTAGATGAATTGAGATAGAAGAGAAAATAGTTTGAAACCCTGAAAAGGACATAGGATAGTTTTTATTTCGGAAATCATCCTTTAAGGGGGTAAAAATGGGGATGAAAGTTTATATGGCGAATCTACCTTTGAACGAACCCCAGCGAAGCAAGCGTGAGTCGGTAGTATTAAAAAAATGATTCTAAGACAAAAACAAAATCAAAAATAATAATATCTGCAGTGTGATACCAGCTTTAGCCGAGCTCGTGTTAGATAAATAACACGGGATTCCTAGATGCCGGTGTTTTTACGCTCTGAGGATGATAAATTAGACTGTCGTATTTACTTTTTCTACAACCCGTACGTTTCCAACGATTTACAAAAAATATGTGTGGAGCTGTTTAACGGAAAAATTATATCTGAGGATCATTTTCAAGAACAGAATTTTTTGTTCACTATCGCTAACTTTAAACGAACAAGGAAATTCTTTGGGAAAGCTATTTTCTTTAACAACAAGCTTTTATTGAGGGCGAATTTTTTTACTAGTATAATAAGAAATATTCTCAGCTAGCATAAAAATGTTACAAATAACCACGATAAAAGCGTTTCAGATTTTCTAGTCTTAAATATTTTATGTTTTAGAATATTGGCCTACATTATATTTCATCTAATACTTATATATATAAATATCTCGTGTCACGGTGTGTGTGGTCGCACTCCTCCGAAACGGCTCGACCGATTTTAATGATTTTAACCGACTTATTTTTAGTATATTCGGTAGATGTGAGAATATGTCTTAAAGTATTTTTCAACCCTCCTACCCCCAACCCCAATTTTTTATTTGTCATTGTAGCATTTTTGTATGAACAATATTATATAAATACATAACGACGAATCCTAGCGAAACGAGGGTGAATCGCTGTATAACATAAAGCCAAAGTTTTTTTCTGTAGATTGAATGCGAGCGTAGCCGCGGATTCTACTAGTAACAGGTATATGAATGTTTGCCCGCTGTCTTATGTAATTGGCACGGAGATAGAAATAGCCTGAGCATTAATAAAGGGTGTAAACACACATAATTATTCATAATCTTTCGCTGTCTGAACAATACGTATAATATGTATATAACCTTTGAGACGTCGGTCTCTCCCGTGACCATGATTGCTGTAGAGCATATGAAATATCGTTAACAAAAAATCAAATATATATTATAAATTAAATATATATTCGCAAAAATGTATGAAAAGATAGTTTTATTTAAAACTTTCGCTTTTATAATAATAGTCTTAAAATCCACTTTACGTATACATCATCTTGTTGTAACAGCAGAGTTTGTATGTATGTTTTTTACTGCTTCACACTAAAACGATTGAACGGTTTTGGATGAAATTTAATACACAGATAGGTCATAAGCTATTTAACCACCTTTGCGAAGCGATGATAAGTCATTTAAAATACGTTTTTGTTTTATAATTACTAACCTTACTAATATAATGAATATGTATTTTGTATGAGCAAATATACCAACAAAAGTTTCTTTCACTAAGCTTTCACTAAGCAACAGATCGACATGGCGACGCGCCCGAGAGGTACGTACTTGTACAAGGCCACAACCTGTCTTCGATATTTTCCTTTTAAATATTCCCTTTAAGATAACTGAATAATCAATACTAAATGAGTTTTAAAAGTACCAATTGATGTTTGTACGAAGCAATTTTTTTCATACGATAGATCATTTCGCAGCTGACGTTAAAAACATAAAGTAATATACTATTTATAGATATTCGAGAATATGAATGATGTATTTATAACCCTCGACAAAAACAGCCCCTCTGCTCTCCGAATATTTTTTTATATATTTGTTTAATCGGTCTGTCTGTGTGTAGTAAATTCATGAACTAATATTAATTTAGTTTTTTTAGCTGAGAAAATATATTTAGAAATGAGAAAATGTAGAACATGTAGAAGGTGCAATGACAATTGACAACCTGAGCGAACTAAAAAAGTATTAGTCCATAAATTTGCCACACACAGACAAACAGATCAAGATTAAACAACTTTGCTGCGAGTTGTTCCATTTAAGAAACTTACCACTTTAGATAGCACCAATCACTAATCTATATATGTATATAAATAGGCAAAGGTAAAACCTTTTTCTTCTCTATTCGTCAGTCGATTTTCGGTAGCTATTGATGAGCTTTAGTTCTGTTCATAACAAAAACGATTATAGTCAAATTTTCACAACTGGGCGAACATTAGAAAAAATAAATTTGCTACACATTAAAAAAAAATAAGTGGTAGCTCAGTGGTAACACGCTTGCTTGGGAAACCGAAGCAATTTCTAATCCCGGGTCTCGCACCTCTGATATTTTCATGTGCGATTCACCATTTCTAACATGAAATGTGAAGTCCGCCAACCCGCACTTGGCCAGCGTGGTGGACTATGGCCTTATCCCTCTGGTATTGAATGGAGGGCCGTGCCCAGCAGTGGGTCATTGAAAAGGGCTGAGTACTGAACTGAGTTGTTGTATTAACAATACATTCAAACCCTGCTAGGGTTCCGTTTGTTATCTGCAAAACACACAAAGAGTGTGTTGTAATCTATTCGATTCCTAACTCTTCTTCATCTATACATACTGAATATTTTACATACTTAAAATTATGTATGTAAATAAATAATAAATATTCAAAATATTTGCGTAAATCAAAGAATGGCCAATTCTATATCTTGTAATGAGTTTAAATTCTAGTTTGTTGAATCTTAATCTTTGTTTAAAGGTATAGTGGTATTATAAAGTGTCTCTTAACCGATTTCAATCGGCGCAGCCAAATCTTAAAAATGAGTGCCTACAAAACAGTAGTCCACCGCCGCTATATATAATATACGTACCTATTATGTTGGTGCGTCGCTTTATTCTAAATACACAAAAACCACAACATTGCCCATTGAAGAGATAAGCCCATACGAGTACATTCACACAGTAAAAGCGATCAAAATACTTTACTCGTTATGACAATTTGCGCGATTAAGCGCTGATTTCACAATCATACGATAAAAACTTACGATATACTTAATATTACGTAAAATTTCAACATTTCGAACAATTCAATTGTTCCATTTTCATAATACATATACAGGTCAAAATTCATTGTATGGCTGATTTTTGTCTAATCACTGATGATTAAAGAATTAATCTCAACAAAATATATTATGTATATAATTGACCGTCGTTATCAGTTTAGTAGTGCTAAAATAGCAAGTAAGAATTTACTATTACTAATATTATAAATGTGGAGGTCTGTGAGCATGGAAGGATGGATGTTTGTTGTAGCTCTTTCACGCCAGAACGACTGAACAGATCTGGATGAAATTTAGCACAGAGATAGATTATAGTCTGTAATAGCGCATAAATTACTTTTTATCTCGGAAAAATGTGCGGTTTTCGTGGAATAGTTTTTTTTTCTAGAGACGAACTCGAATCGAAGCTAAGGTGAGCCGCTAGTACTTCATACAACTTTATGAAGTATGATGACGGATTCAACTATAGAAATTCGTTAAAAGTTTTTTTTTTTTTTTCAAAATAGATTACGATTTCTGCCTCAAAATAATCAAACAAATGCATGTATTAAGGGCTTAGTCAATATTGTTAGGGAAATTACATGTTTTGATTCTTTGACAAAATAATTGTCATTTTTTATAATTTCAATTTTTAAACTATTATGGAATATATTTTCCAAAAAAAAACTACATTTTGAATTTATGCTCCCGACATTCTGAATGCTTTACAGCATAGACACAAGGAAGGCTAATATAAAATTTTGGACGCCTACAAAAATTAGTATCCAGCTATCACAGATTATACAATAATTTGGAAAAAATAGAAAAACTCAAAATAGCCAAAAATCTAAAAGATAGTTTTATTTATAATATGTTTAGTGAGTTCTTGTCTAACAATAAGCCTGGTAAGACAGCTTTCTCTCCCTATATAACGTACACTATTTTTATCATCATACTACGTGAGCGGAAAAACACAAAGGCGTTAATTATACATATTTTCATAGATGAAATCATACTGTGTCATGACGCATATATCAACTATAATATTTTTACGTATAACTGTTTGTCATAACGAGTAAAATTACACAAGAAAAGCTCATGCCATCTGAGAAGACTTTGAAAGCATTTATTGTTTGATTAAGTTCTTGGTATTCTAATTTATTTCTCATATATTTAATACTGTCTATAATTTTTGAATTATCTCTTATTAACCTTGCTATGTATTTCAAACTTTGAATACACAAACATTTTCATATTGAGATACACCCCTAATTATGAACTTCTGTATAGAAATAATGTTTTACAGAGTAGGTATATTGATGTTATTTGCCATACCTTTAAGCAAGCAATATATAATAAATGCAATTAAACTTCTTCTAACTTCATGAACTTTTTAATAGCTTTTCCTATAGTTTGTATATGAAAAATACCTTAGTTATTTTTTTTACATTTCTAAATAATGATATGTTTAAAAAATATCTTTGATATTAATATAACTTTTAAGCTTAAGCCAATCGGGTTAATGCTTTCACAGTCGGAAGTAGCGTTAGATATATAAACAATACATACATTTCGCACGTACTGATCAAATGTCCTCACCGCTGTGCGCCCCAGCAGCAGCGCGTCCATCTCGCTCTCCGGCACTGGGACCACGGCCACGGTGGGCGCCCCGGCCTTCACTGGCACGTTCATTTTGAATCTTATCACTGCACTTTAAAATTCAAAATTCCATTGATGGTAACTCTGAAATAGGTCTTTTTAGGTCCCACTTTAGCACTAATACTTGTCAGCCAGCTCAGTTTTTTGGTAGTATGTTTATTTTGAATCTTATAATAATGTTTTAAAATTCAAAATTCCTTAAAAATAGATCTGTAATAGATCTTTTTAGGTCCTACTTTAGAGCACTAGCAATGTTCAGCTTCACTTATGCGGATACTTTTATTTCAAATCTTAATATAACGTATTAAAGTTTAATATTCCTTGAACCAGTTTTTATATTGATAACTTTTAAAATTATTTCACTTTTTATTTATTATTTACTAAACACTTATAAAGTTTTTTTCTATAATTTCTCTAACTTCAATTTATGTTGATATTAATTATTTTTTTCTAATTATAACGTAAGCTTCAAATCTTAATATAATAAAATTTCTAAGAACAAGAAAAAAAAAAAATTCTAAGAAATTTTGTTCATCGTATGTACTTGTTCTTATAAACAAACACGAGTATATTTGCACAAATACTTATAAGCACTTTCCCTTCTAACGCAGCACCAATTTCACTGTTCAACATTCAACAAAGTAATATCGCTCTAAATTTTATAATTATCTCTATTACACTAAAACACAAGATCCTCTAACATCTATATAAATATGGCACAAAAACCTCATAACTAATAGGATTTGAAAAAAACTCGATATGCTTCAGTTAATTCTATTAGCTCTTGCAATGTAGTTTTCATTAAAAACTTATTATTCAGTTCACATTCATCTGGGGTGAAATATATTCGCTTTGTCCAAAGTGTCCATTTCTTGTTATCTCGATCCCGGTTGCTCCCTTTTCAGTCTTCGCCGTCTTTCAATGATTATATATACGTCGGAGTTGAGACTTGGTCGTTTAACTATCTAACACTGAGAAAATTGTGGAAATGAGACATTTTGATAGGAAAAAGTATTGATTTGATACATTCGGTTAAGACCGTGATAGCAGACTGGTAAGCTCTCTTGTATAGCCAGAAATACTTTTGACATTTTCGACATAATTACCACCTGGATAGGAAAACTTTCCAAGGAAAACTACATGTCAACCCTTACTTAACATCACTTAAGGGGAAGCAATTGGATGTAAAAAATGCCAATATATATGTATACAGTAATGTTTATGTAAAGTCTTGAAATATCTTGCTTAAATTTATTATTGCTTGTTCCTTTACTTTACCTAAATGATGGATAAATGAGAAACAACAAACAGATTTAGTTAATATAGAGACGTTTTCATTTACTCGATATCGAATATCACAGATTCAAAGTTTATGTTACAAGTTCTCCGTCCGTTCTCTACTTTTTGTCTATTTAAAGGCTATTGATTTGGCCAAAAAATTTCAAATTTTAGGATTCATTCTTTATAAATTCACCTACACCGTATTATCTATACATATAATAAATACTCTGAGTTGAATCTGTACATTAAATATTTTTTGGAAAATCTTATTGAAATAGTCAATATTTTGTCTGTCTGGGAATGCATCACGAGAAAACCACTGGACAGATTTTGATAAAAATTGATATTATGATGATAGCTGGCTATCCGGGTCAACATATAGGATACGTTTTACTGCGAGAATATCTCATCTCTGAGATATCTATACAATATATAAACAAATATATATATATATATATATTATATTAAACATTTAAACGTAACTAGGGACGAACCCGAGCGCAGCGAGAGTGAGTCGCTAGTATCAAATATACAAAAATTCATCCTCTTCATACGTAAATAGTTAATCTTATAAAAATGTAGAGTCAATACAAGCCAAGTCGTTTGATGTACATCATCGCACAAGTGAATCTTTTAAAATATTTAAATAAACCCAAGCTGTACCACCAGAGCGTAGCGCTCAGGTTCACGCTTCGGATCATATTTGAGCGGTCAATTAACCTTCTCTTGTGTACATACAACTTATGGATACGCGTACTTTAACTAAATTATGTAAATACTAGTGACCCTAAGCCTTATCCTATGGGAACGGCTTGATGTGGAAAAGGTTTAAAAAATGCCTACATGACATGTCTCGCAATATCGTTTAGACTTTTTATGCCTTCAAACTGTGTTTAAATGAATACCTATAATATACATATTTCTTAAACAACATCGATACTATTATTATAAATGTGAAAGTGAAGTGTGAAATACTATTATTATAAATGTGTTTGTTTGTTCGTCCTTCTTTTACGTCAAAACAGAGTGACGGATTGTCGTGATTTTTTGTGTGAAGATAGTTGGAGGGCTGGAGAGTGACATAGACTACTTTTTATTCCGGGAGATTAATTCTCTGCAATAGAATTAAGTAAATACGTGTTTTAGCATTTTTCGAAATTCATCCCATAAGAGGGAAAAATAGGGGATGAAAGTTTGTATGAAACCTACCTTTTTAGTTTTTTTTTGTATTTTTAGCGCTAGCGAAGCCACAGGTTCTGCTAGTACGGTGGTTTAGTGCATGAAGCGCAATTAAAAGTCAACCGTTCATTTTAACATACATACATGTTTTTCATATAGCTTCGATCCCTATCTTTAAGTAAATATACATGATACTCCCTTTTTTGTAAATTATCGAATTATTTGTAGTGTCATTTATAATATTATTACTAGCGGCTCACCCTCGCTTCGCTCGGGCTAGTTCCTAGGTGTGTTTTAACGTTAGTATGGAATAGATAGACTATATATTATATAATTTATTTTCTGTTGTATCGCTGTATATTATATAATATGCAAAAAGTATCATATATTACTTTCCAGCCCTCCTACTGTCTCAACACAAAAAATCACGCCAATCCGTCACTCCGTTCCGACGTGAAAGAAAGACAAGCAAACTAACAAACAAATAAGCAAGTAAACAAACAAACATACTTTCACATTGATAATATTAGTATATATCTAGAGGCAGGACCACTTCTTAATGGTAGCTTATGTTTTATTCCAGAACATACTTTATCGGTGTACCAGATTCATCCAAATCAGTCCAACATCCATTTTCAACGTGATGGAGTAAAAAAACACACACAAACTTTCGCATTTATGTAGTTTTGTGCATCAGTTTTACAAACAAACTAGATTTTAATTTTAACTTTAATTCCCGCGACCATCTTTATTTTTCACTGGATTAAAAATATTCATATATACGACGGTGGCATATTAAAAAACATGATGTTTTAAGAAAAAAACTCATACTTCACTTATGAATAACTAATTGAAATCTCACAAACTTTTCTCCTCTAGAGAAATATTTTAATTTTGAATTATCTAAAAAACTGAAGATTAACTTGAAAGCTAACTTTAATAAAAAAAAACTATCAAGTGAAATGCTTGTGAATAAATAGAAACATGAGTGAAGCTGCAGGCAATAACTAGTTCTGCAATAGTATTATTTCTGCAATAGTATTATGTCCTCATACAGTCAATTGTAACTTAAGATAACTCATAACTAACTCTATATTAGAGGGCTACACTATATCGCTATGTAGAGCCACTCTACTTTAGTTCGATCTAACTTCACTTCAAGTTATACTTAATCTTAATAACGTGTGAAAATTTGACAACTTCATCTAAAATGAATAATAAACTCATCCAGAGTTGCTTATTAGTAATAGACTCTGCTTAATAATTAAAACAGGAAAATATAATAATTAGTTTCTTTTTTTCTATTCATCTTTCTTCTCATACAATAACTCGTGGTGACTAACATTATAAAAGCGAAAGTTTGTATGTGTATACATTTGTTACAAGGCAGTAGTAGCCCAGTGGTAGAGCGCTCGCTTGGGAAACCGAGTGAAACGAGTTCAAATACCGGGTTTCGCACCTCTGATATTTTCATGTGCGAATCATTTCTAACATGATTGCCTTACCACCGCTTGCCTTACGGTGAAGGAAAACATCGTGAGGAAACCTGCATATCTGAGATAATCTAGCAAGTTTTAGTACTAGCAAGTTGACCAGCGTGGTGGACTATGGTCTGGTCCCCCACGTATTGAAGGAAGCTCGCACCCAGCAGTGGGACATAAAAAATGCCTGAATATATACAACACAATACTTTAATTACTCCTTCATGCTGAAACGACTGAACGGATTTGGATAAAATTTAGGACACAATATAAATTATTTACCTGGAGTATACCACAATATATATTAGGCATCAAAGGACGCACTCGAACAACGCGACGGTAAGTCAACTTTTAATATCAATCAAGTCAACTTTTAATTTATGAATTATCTCTTAATTATATCTAATGTTAGTTTTAAGGTATATACTATGTTATGGGCCTCTGTTTACATATTTAAGATCCTTTTGTAAATATTGCCTGAAATAATTATAAAAAAAATATTACAACCATAAATAACCATAAGTTAATATGTAACCATTTACAAAAGCCTACTTATGTTTAAATGTATATAGTTTTCTACGTATTTGTAAACATTAATATTACATATTTTGTATGACAGGTTCGTATTTCATATAAAGTTCCATATTTCTACTACACTTAAGTATATAAATATGTCAGTACGTGATTAGGAGCTAAAAGTAACGGAATACGTACAACTTATACAGACTTTTATTTATGTACAATGTACATACCGACTAATGTATCGAGCTTTATTGTAAATCAGAGGTCGCAAATTCGATTCCATTAGTGTCAAGCGTAAAGTGTTTGTTACTCTTTGGTTAAGTCAAAATATATCAGTTTACGAATTATTCCAAGCACTTTTATAAAAAAGCGTTGTCAATCCTCCTTTTTAATACTGTAATAGTAAAAAAAATTAAGTATCCAAATATTATTACATTTTTTTTTATTTATTAAAATTAAACAAGGCCCACACTTATCCCTTATCTATCTATAAATCTATAGTATAATAAAAGGCAAAAGTGATTGACCGCTGTATCAACGCACAGGCCAAATACTTAAGGTTAGAAAATT